AGGACTTGGAGAAAGTGCACAGTATTTATCCCTACTACAGTATGTGACTTCAATTTCATTCTTTTGGAACAGACGTTTCATGTTGAGTTCAACTGTTTCATATGTACATAGGAAAGCCATATGTGTGTATGTGTGTGTGTGTAAGATTTAGCAATTTCCATTAAAGAAAATCTAGTGTTTATGATTACAAGTAATTCTCAATTTACTACCATAATTTAGTCCAAAATTTATGTTGCTAAGCTAGTTTTGCCCCATTTTATGACCTTTCCTGACACAATTGTTAAGTGAATCACTACATTTGTTAAGTTAATAACAGTTTTTAAGCGAATCTTCTTTCCCCATTCATTTTGCTTGCAGAAAGATTGCAAAAAGTAATCACATGACCACTCCAGTGCACTTTAACCCTCATAAATATGAGCCAGTTGCCAAGTGTCCAAATTTTGATCACATGGCCATGGGGATGTAAAGGGTCGTAGGTGTGAAAAAAGATCATTAGTTATTTTTTCAGTGCTGTTATCACTTTGAATGGTTATTAAATGAATGGTTGTCAGTTGAAGACTATCTGTATAGACCTTTCCCCCCATCCATGTTTCTATTCTGTTATGCACAACTATATAACTAGCTCTCGGTAATAATTAGAGGAGTCAAAAGTGTGCCAAGTGTGCCTAAGGAAGCTTCAGTAGATATTTTGGGGACTATTCACTTCAACAACAGTGTTAGTGATTGTTTTATTCTATTGTATAATTATTTCTCAAGTGCTTCTTGGATTATTTTACTTCTCAGTCTGTTTCAAGACATTGTTCAAATGCTGAAGCTTGATGTTAACGCTTCGTGTCTGAGGTCTTTAAGAATTACTTTAACTTTAGGGCTGGTTATACAATTCTTAGGCATTGTTAGAAGATACTCAATCATTCATTCTTTATTATGGCTATAGACCAGCATGCCTGAGGACAGTCAGTTGTGAGAACCTGGTCCAACTGTACATGAAGATGCCTATACATGGAGGCATCTACTTCATTTTCATTGGTTGTCCACTGGGAGCTCCGGAGGACAAAAAAGAGGCAACAAGCAGAAGGGCTCTAGAGTTATGGCATCTCATTGTAAAAGGTTTTACTTTCTCATGGGGACTTTTAGTATCACACACAGAAGACATATCCTTTTAATATTTTAAAACTGCTGTAGAGTGATCATTGCAGCTCACATTTCATCTGATGTCAGGAGTCAGGACCAAGAAAGCCATGTGATTCTTCCAAGTAGAGTTCTTTATTGTTTCATATCTATAGACAAATTCTTGCCAGTGACCACTTTACTATCTACATTTACATATAGACTGTGAATTATTAGAAAGGGGCTGTCTTTACCCTCTTTCTCTCATACCTGATATCTGGAATGAGTTTCCTGTTACTTCTCTTCCTTTCTGTGTGTGCTCCTTTCTTCCTGGGAATCTACTTCCTCATTATATTCAATTACATCTGATATGTTTTTATATAAAACTTAAAAAAAGGTTACCAAGTATCCAGTCACATATTATGCCAGCAAGTGCTAACCAGTTGCTGAAAAGAAAATTAGGATTTATTTAAGAAACAGAACAAGATATTTTGTTCTGGAGATGGCCAACCCAGAACTAAGGAGAAATTTCCTGACACAATTGATCAGTGGAATGACTTGCCTCCAGAAGCTGTGTGTGCTCCAATATTGGAGGTTTTTAAAAAGAGATTGGACAATCCTTTGTCTGAAATGGTATAGTGTTTCATGCTTGAGCAGGATGTTGCATTAAAAGACCTCCAAGGTCCCTTCCAACTCTTATTCTGTTGCACACATGACTGATACTAAATTGATCTGTGTGTATGGGTGTACACATTTGAATATTATATTCAAGGGTATCCATAGGGTATGGTTTAAAAAGTCAAATGGCAGCTGCAGTGCACATAGAAACAGGTGGAACTTCAAGCTTAATGTTGTGGCCTTCATTAAGGATTACTCTTACCTTGTGCTTTTTAAAAATGCAAGTGGCTCAGGTTACCGATTAGTCTGAAGTATAGTTCTGTTTTTAACAAATGCACCAAAATGTTTTTCATTTAAAGAATAAATAATACTTTTTACTCTGTCTGTCTAAACTTGAAATAGTTCCTAACTGGGGAGGCTCTGAAAGCATTTCAATAGTATTGCTTCCCACGTATTTGAAGCATGCAATTGATAGCCAGTTTTCAGGTCCTGGAAATAATTTTTGTTTTATGAGGTACAGTTAAAAAGAATAAAATAGGCATCACTTAGAGGCACAGTGAACATGATTATGCAGATTTTATACACTATTCAAGAGATAAAAGTTACCCAAAATACATTTCAGTAGCTAGACATTTTTCTCTTTTTATCCCATGCTTTTGTATGTTATTTAATTTCAAGGCAGCTCCACACTACATATCTGCAGCACCTCGAAGGGAGTTAAAAATAGCCTGACAGAAAGCAACTTGTGTAATGGGTTTTCTGTCTTCAACTATTTAATTTCAGATAATACAAAATAGACCAGTTTATGCTGAATTATGCATAAAACATCCTGATTGTTAATTTCCCATTGTTATTTTCTTCATCGGCTAGCACTGAAGGAAACTTGGGCAACTTTAATGGCTGAAGCTCTTTGTTATCAACACAGATGGAAAACTATTAATTGATTGTGGCTTTGAATCCGAGCACATATTTTCCAAATGATTACATCCTAAACTTTGAAAACTGCTGTTCATTTCCCTTCTGCTGGCAACATAGAGACTTACGTTCTACGCCCAGGCCAAAAGTGCCAGAACAAAGCAACTCTTTAAGTGTATTAACCACTAGAAGAAAAATAATTTTATTTTATTTGCTGTATATTTTTCAGGAATATGTGATACACGAACACAAAAAACCATATGATTAAAACCTAACTCATAACCTAATAGATCCCAAACAGTAAAAGAATTCAGGAAAAATAATTTAAAACATCTACTTGAAAAGGTATGGCCTTACTTCCTTTGGTGAAGGATTAAGCTCAGCACTGAAGGAGTGCATTTCTATTGACAGGAGATAGGCATAATGTTGATTGCTTAACAGTTGGACTTCAATAGGAAGGGTAGAGAATAAGAGTTTCAGAGGGTCCTTAAATCTAAGCTCCTGAAGACTACAAGACATCAAATTGAAGCATTCTGTGCAGATGGCTATCAAATTCCCCAAGTATTTCATGAACAGAAACCTAACACTTCCCCTTGGAGGTGCTACTGTTAAAATGTGGTTAGGAAGGATTCAAGAGGAATCTTAATTTTTACAATTGAAAGTCATGAGACTGTGTCCTGTGTTCTGGAATGAAAGACTGCAAGTCATGATCTTCTGTTATGTATGCTTTCAGGACTCTCATATCACCCCCCCCCATTTTCTCAAGACCAAAAATACTCAATTTCTTCAATCTCTTTTCATAGAAGTTCATTTCTACCTCCTTTATCATCCTTTTTGCCTTGTTCTGAACATGTTCCATTTTCTTCTGAATCCTTTTTTAAAACTATGGTACTGGAACTGTGACAAGTTCACGTGTTCACTTCCCAACTGCTGTGTACCCATTGTTCAACATTATGTTTGACCAGTATAAATGGAAAATTATATCTCTGTTGAGGCAATCTAAAAGTGCTGTTGTCTTTCTTGCACACTGCTAGCTCACAGTCAACTTGCAACCCAAGATTATCCAAATCCTTTCTCCACAAATATTGTTGCCAAGCCAGATATCCTGCATCTTATATTTACATACTTTTGTTCTCCAAATGAAGAACTTTATAGCTGCAATTTACCTGTGTTAAATGTGTTACTTTTAGATTAATTTCTCTAACCTCTCAAAATCTGATTTGTTTTCCACCTGTCTTAAAAAGTATTGCTATCCCACCTTACTTTATCTCACCTGCAAGTTTGATAAACATTGCTTCCACCTCTTTATCCAAGTGTTTGATAAAAATACTGTAGAGGACCTGAGATTGGCCCTTGTGATACTCCACTGGAAGCTTAGTTTCTGACTACATTCCTAATTTGAGAAGGGCTATTCTGTGCATACCAGATCCAGCTTGTACACAGAGCTTAGCTTTGATTCTATAGTAGCCTAAATAATGAAGGAATCTTTTGAAAACAGCACTCACTTATATTTTGTGCTGATATTTTGCTTCAGTACTTTTGCTTAAGACAAGCCATGTTCAGTGAGGTGGTTGGAGTGAAGCCATGTTAAGGCCAGAATGTTTTTCCCCCCTCATTGATTGGAACACAGAATACTATCTAGGATGAACAACGGTTTCTCATAAGAACAAAACCCTCAACAAAGTTCATAGAGTGACCTTTAAATGATACCAGAGTGTTAGGGTACATTGTCTCACTATTAAAATCAGACATGCATATGCATTGTAATATAGGAGAACGCCATGGTCCCTTTCTATGTGGGATTTGCTATAATTTGCTATACACATTTTTCTTAGAACTGGTTATAAAAACTAGGGCAGGGGCTGGCCTTTATCAACAGCTGGCTTCCAGCAGACTGAACTATCTTGCTAAATATGTAGCCCAGCATTATGCTTTTTTTTAAAAAAAGGTACATGTGAATGAATGAAAATACATCAATAAATATGTAACAGTAGCTAGCCATTTTTCCTGATTATATTGGAAAATTGCTATGATCTTGTTTTCTATTGTTAATACATTTTCATAAATAGCATATGCAGAAAAAGTTTCTGGAATTTATGTTATTCTCCAAGAATCCAAAAACCCTTGTGTAGGGCTATTGTAAGTTGCACACATATGGCCCACCCCTTACCCGGTTTGCATGTGTATTCAAGTTACAAAATACTTAGAAATTCCATTGGCTCCATAAAAGGAATCTCTACTTTCCAATTTTCTCTCACTAATTTTTTTTGGAATAATGATTACATTCAACATTTCAAACCACACTTGATTAAACTTTAATGGGCAATGCTTTATCATTTGATACCAACAAGACACACTCATGTACTTCAAGCCATTTTTATTAGAAGTTTCTTCAAGGAAAAAGAAACACAGAGATCCTTTGCAAGTAAGAATTCAGAGTCAATTACCTGAAAACAGGTATGAAAAACATCTTCTATTAAAATCAGATACAGAATAGAAACAGTGCATTTTTTAAAATACCACCGGTGATAGACAAGTCTCCCATCATAAATGGCATCAAAATCATTACTGATTTCACAGCAAAGCTGCATGCACATTTAGTTTATAGTAAAAAGCCTTGGAAGTATCAAGCTTTTGCCATGAAATTTGCAGTAATAAAGGTACGCAGCACAAAGATGTTTCTTTTGCCATCCTATTGATATTTCTCCATATTAAACATATATATACACTTTAAAAATTTGGCTGGTAAACCATAATATTATTCATAAAACTTTTGCTTCAGTTGCTAATTTAGCAGAAATGCACTATCCGAGTGTGCTTATACTTTGGAGGAGAAACTAATGAAATAAGGAGGTGATTTTATTGGTCAAAAAGGTTAACATGATTTTTTTCCCTAAAAAAATCAACAATAAAATGGCTCTGTACAAAAAAAGGAAATATATGTACAAAATGCTACAAGCCTACAAATTATAAGATCTGTCCTTTACCACAATAGAAACGCAGTAAAAGATTTTCTGTTTTGCCTTTTGTAAGGTGCCAGCAAAACCAAAGTTTGACTGCTTTACATAACATCATAGATATGTTAAGTCCTGTGTTTTTATCACCTGCTACTGCTGTCTATATTTGCACACACACACACAAATATTGCCTTCAATATTTTATACTGTTTCAAAAATGAAACTCCATCCACATGTACTAATTTTCCTTTTTGCGTCCTTGTTTTAATGCTATGTTTCTAGAAAGAAAATACAGTTCCGGTCAACTAGCCAAAAAAATAGCATCATATAATACTTTGTGTAGATTTTCCCAACTCTACTGTGACTGTGCTACAATCAAACAGAATATAAACATTGCTCTTTCATTACTGAGTTTTCATGTAATAAATGAATTAGACTTTACATACTCTATTGCACTTCCAACACATTTTTTTAATAAAGCAATTTATTCATTGTTAGTTTTCTTCATAATGATTCATGATTTTCCAGTATTTCTGAACTTTCCTAATGTCGAATAGCAGACATAATTTCCTTTCTATGAGTTCCAGCGGTTAAAAATAGGTGTAAGTACAGGATACAGGCTGTACTTACACATATGATAGTGCTCCCTCTTTTCCTCTAAAGAGATATGGATGTTGTAAATACACCAGAATCATCCATTTCATCCTGTAGAGACATGCACACACATCTTTCCACTTAATTTAAGACATTAATTACATGAACATAGAAAGTACATCCAACTCAAGTTTCCTGTATTTGCATATATCAATAGTATATGACACATTTCCCTATTGAGACATCACTGTGTTGGGAGCTTCTGATTCTTCCTACAAAGAGATGCAAGTTTTTGTACTTTATGTATTAATACATGCAGGTGCAGGAAATCTAACTCATGCTTCTGTACTTACTAAATTCATGTCTAAAGCTCTTACTGTTTTGTAAGATGTCTAAAGAGTATTTTAACCAATGTATGATCCTCACTGGGCCAATTCTAATAAAATGTCTTATGAGATACAACTGGAAATCATGGCTTATGAATACTCCTTTTGATTATTTCTGCTTAAATTTTTACAGGCATTTTGCAGATATTGCAATATACATTTGGAAAAAAAACCCTATTTTTAGTACTAATTGTATCTGGGTAAAAGAAGAGGCAAACTTGTGACACAGCAAACTGACAGCAACATACATTTGCTGAGCTACAAACGTGATAACTCAAAAAAAAAAAAGGAAACCCTTTAAAATGTAGTAAATTGCAATCTGTTCTATATATTAGGTGATAATAATTTTTTTCATACTATTGCAATTTCTCCCAAATAACTGGTAACATTTTGAAGTGCCATGCTATTTCTTCCACTAAGCTTTTTATATGCGCTTTCCAAATTGGCATTGCCAGATAAAAATTAAAGGCGTAAAAAGATGTATTTCGCATAGAACTAATTCCTCTTGTTTCACAAAAGCTCAGGGATTCCATTTTAGCTGCTGAATAATACTGCTGGCTGGCAGATGGGATGAAGATGGTGAAGATGAGCGGCATGATTTCTACCTGGATTTGCAAAGCAGGAAAACTGAAGGCTGGTGGAGGATGTTTTCTAGCACTTTTTATGCAGATGTGTGGCAGAGATGCAGCATAAATAAGAAAGGAACAAAATCAAATAATCATTTCACAGCCTCTTGACATAGTTTCCAGGGAAAGTACCAAAATATTTTGTTCTTCTGGAGGTTCCTGAAAGTAGAAGTAATAAATGAAACATGGCAGCAAGAGTAACATATTCATGCTCTAAAGACAGCCTTTACATTTCATTTTAGGATTGTTCATGAATATATTTAATGCCATCACAATAGGAAAATATGGACTATTGCATTATATAGTCATAGAATTTAAGTTAAGTTATAATACTGTAGCCATGAAAAATTTATTCATGGTAGATAAAATAATACTATTATAATAGGTTTTACTGAGTAAGTGCCACTGCTGAAAAGACAGATCAAAGTTAAACATTAATATATATCTTGTCTGTTTAGCAGTTATAACATCAAAGAAAACTTCTTAATTACGTACTTTTTTAGTTAGAAGCTTTTAGGGAAGCAGCAGTCAAATTACAATATCAAATATTATGCTTCAATAAATATTGAATCAATCATTCATTTGCAAATAAAACAACTTATGTTGTTTTATTAAGCATAGAACATTAAGAATGTTCTATTAAGCATTTTCATTCCAACATAGCAATTTTTTTATGCAGGCATTTTGTACATCAGATTCAATAGGAAAAAGGGAATCCCTAATCACCCATTAGTATGAGAAAGTTCTCTCAATTTATGAGTACATGTGAGAATGATACTTTCTCCATCAATTTTAATAGAGAAATTTACTATGTCAAGGTTTAGGACATGGTGGTGACAAACATTTGCCAAGTTTCATTATACGGTTACCTTTATAGTACAGGAAATTGCTCACACATAAAAAGGAACATACCACAATATAGGCAGATCTCATGCAGCATGGATTCTTTGCTGATCAGTTCCTCATGCTTAGAACTGTGCACAACAAACATCATTTATTGCTGGATATTCTCTAGTATTAGAGCGTAGATCCAAATGGGTATGAAAGATGGCACAATGATGTTTGACTTAGGGAGCGCACCGAAAGAAAAAGATTTGCTCCGGTATAGAAACTATAATATTTGCAACAAGATCTGGAAATCTTGTTGCAAAAATTATATTGTAGAATAGCAATATAAGGGTGATTGTATTACATGTGAAAGAATCAATGGCATATGACACACGATTTTGGGGAACATCTCAAGAATGTTTTTTTATGGCTGGCAAACTAGACATAATACATGCAACACTGCAATAACGCTGATTAAAAATTTGCCAGTTGTAATAAACCAGAAGGTTCCCTAATATGTTACCCTCTAAATACCCTGCTGGGTAGAAATTCTGAGACTGCAGGGGTAATTCAGATTGAGGGCATCAGGCTAGGAAAGCCAAGTGGTACTTATATATCCTACCAAAGGCACTACTAAAATTATGGAAAACATACCCACAAACCATCCATCATCACATTTTTCCATCACATCAATGACATCTCCCTCTCTCAGCTCCAATTCATCTTCGTTCCTAGGAGTATAGTTATACAGAACCTGAAACCTTAAACAGGACAAATGGATGCATTTAAAGAAAAAAATATCTTGCATTTTCACTATGCTAAAGCAGGTTGATAAACAGTTCTTTGGAGATAAAAATAAGCCAGGCTAAAACTGAAATCAGTAATAGATATAAAGTTCTCTATTGAGTAATGCATGAACGATTGACGCAGAGTATTTTTATTTCAGTTCAAATAAATGGGCTGTAAATCCAAATATGTGTAGTTACAATCATTCTTCACTATTTGACACACTAGCAAAGCATGCAACATTAAAATGTACAAAACATACGTTTTAAACCATTTTAAAAAAATTGTATGTTTGGGCAGTGCTTCAGAGTCAGTTCCCAAAAGCTGATTTGGAGCATACAGGAGCATGATCATAGGATTTGTCTGCAATTTATTTAAGAAGTCACATCTTCCTTGGATCACATTGCAGCTGTGTGGTCCAAAGGACCTTTTGGAGAACTGAAATTTGGAATACTTCACATCTCAGTATGGAAAAGTGGGAAAATAAATTTCAGTCCTATGAGCTAAAAGGGAAGATAGCCTAGGAAATCTCAAAACTGCTTCCCTAAAGGTGGAACATAATATACAGTATATAGTTGTTCCATTTAGTGCAGATCTTCATATTCCCATGTGTAATCATACAGTCTTTCAGCTTTGCACTGCCACCACCCTTCCCAGTATGGTGGCATTGCAATGCTGACTTCCATTTCAATTTCCAGCAGCTCCAGCCAATACTGCTAATGGTGAAGGATGGTGAGAGCTGCATTTCACAACATCTGAACATCTGAAGGGCTATAGCATCCCTTCCCATCCTTACAGTTTGGTTAAGAGAATTATGACATAATCCTAAGTACTTGGAAAATATACTAAAAAAAAACTCAATGGTGATGATTCAACTACATTAGTTCTGTTTGTCTTCTGAATACTCCTTTTTCTTTGCAAATGATTATTTTATTGCTTTAAAAAAATATAATAATAACAGACATATTTGCCCAATAACATCATTTTTCTTCTTCAAGACAGAGTATCTACCAGGAAGATACTGTATTCCCTGATAAAATTTAAAGTGTATTATTTGATAATGGGAAAATATGTAAACTTTATTCCTACCTGTTTAGCTCATTCATTTCATGGGTTACAGAATAGCAGAGTTGGAAGGGATCTTGGAGGTCTTCTAGTCCAACCCCTTGCTTAAGCAGGAAACTCTATACCATTTCTCTGAGCGCCAAGAGCAAGCAATCTGAGATCCCCTCAGGGAGTCTTAAATTCTTGCTCTCATAAACAAGTAGCCCTGCATTATGGTACTTGTAGTCTAATATATCTTCTCTAGTTTAGAATTTCATGGCCACTAATCTATATATGTACTTTTATGTTGTTCTATTATGTTATTTTTCCTTTATATTTTTGGAAATGCTAGCTTTTCTTCAAGAATGTTAATAATTCTCTTTCACCATAAATTTGCCAGCAATCAGTGGCCATGTTACTCTTGGGAATGATATGTCATTGTATTACTATCATTCTATTTAAAAAGTCTTCTTTATTTAATGGTGGTTTGTACTCTAGAAGTAAATGTTATTTGTTTTTTGTTAAGTAACGGTATTTGCTAGATAAAAATCAAGTTAAAAATTTATCATGTTAGGCCTTTTTGTAATTACTGGTATTTGACATGCCATACAAATAAGTGGATTAAAAAAATCAAAATATATTTAAAATAATGACAGTTGACAATTATTAAAACTTGGATTTGTAGCTTCCTTAGGAGATACACTGACAATAAAGTCTGCAATACATTATCAATTACACAGTGCCACAAAAATATGGTTTTATCAGGTCTATATTCCATGCATTATGTTCCAATTATGTATATTTAAAAATTGTATTATATTATCCAGTGCCCAATTGTATACATTATAAAGAAGCATCTGCCCATTCACTGCCATTCACTGCTAATTTACTGCCTCTGGAAAAATCTCTGAATTCACAAGGCATTTGTATATCTGCTCACTTGGAAATAACCCCTCTTTGAACACAATGGATGGTGTTTATGAGTGGAAACAAAGGATTGCATTGCTAGTTCCTAAATAAATGTTCTTGCTTAATGACATTATATGACCTCTTAGCTTAACTTGAGGATAAAATGGAGAGAGGAAATAATATTCTACAAATTTGAGTTCCTGGAGATTGGACAGGATATAAATGAAATAAAAGCAACAAAGAATGCCAATTAAAAATCTTTCATTTTTCAGTTTCTGCCACATACATAAACTACTGAGAAGGGAAAAATGAATATAATTGTGAAGAGACCCATTTCCCTACTTCTTAACAAATCTTATTGTACAAAGTCCTAAGGCTTTGTGACAGGATGTTGTGGAGGGTTATGACCTTTGGTCAATAAGAAATCTACTTAGTTACAAACAGATATACTTTATTTGTTGTAGCAGCCAATTACTCTTTCTGTTTGTTCATGATATGATGAGTTGGAAAATTTGGAACTTGTTCTGAATGAGTCACCAGCAGTTGAGTTCAGGGTAAGAAGAGATGCTTCCATTTTAAATAGAATAAAATAATCTACCTTGGTAATGTCTAAATACAGATATTATACTCTAAGAATTTAGTACCTATACTTCTCTTATTCTAAGCATTCTCTGTAGTGTAGCAACTGGGAGTATTAAATATTGCTTCTCTGCAATATATTGCAAATTTGGCCTTTGCTAATAATTATTTAAATAATATGTGTGTTTCAAGTCTCAATCCAGAAAAAAATAACATTTTGCAAGATTCTGATAGATATATAAACTACCTTCAACCCAAGGCTTTTCTAGACAAGAATACCTTGCAACATTCATATTAACTCAGACCTTATTGAGCAACTGATGCAATCACAGAAGACACATTATTGCAACATGTCCTGGAATCTTCTACAGTTAAAGGAGAACTCATATTTTCATGCAGTGAGTCTCATTTCAAGAATGAGAACTGCGGATACGTTTGCCTTGTGTTAAAAAATCAACAGTCATTTAATGGGATGATTAATTTGTTTCCGTCCCAGATCCTGTTACTTATATCCCACTATAATGGAGACATGTTATAGCTGTAAAGGGGGCCAAATATAGAACTATTATGTCAAGGTAAGCAGATGGAAGTTTCCTATCTGTTCTAGGAAAAGAGGTGTACAAATTCCTTTAGCTTGACATCAAGCATTACATGAATTTCAAAAGTGGCTGAAGTCAGGATTTTAAAAGGCTATTTTTTTTTCTTTTTAGCTCCACAATCCACCAAACTCCCGACTTGATATTTATTGAAGCTTATTTTTCAAGTAGCTTGTTGAAAATTCTTGGACTGAGTTATGGCCCACTTTCTGATGACTATAATTATTTGCTTGGTTCAACTTTGGTTTTTCCTTTTATGACAATATATAAATTTTCAGATAGTCATATTGTCAGGCGGTTTGACAAAGCTCTGTGAATGTCTCTTTATTTGCTCCCTTTGTATAGCACTCTACCTTCATTTTCTCTAGACAGCTGGCTTCCTCTTTAGTTCAACACTACCACTATTTTTGGCACCTACTGAAATTTTAAACCTTTTGTGGTTTGGCTTATGTCGCTTCCCTTTGGATAGAATTGTGCAAAATCCACCAGTTTGAGAAGAAGGACTGTCCTGGAGATCTGTGGGACTTTTCATGCTCTCTTCAGATCACAAGGTGTCTCAATAATTTCTGGAAATAATTTGGATGGAAGCAATTTTAGATAAGTTGAAAATAGTCCTGTCCCAAGAAGTTTGGTTATATCCAGAATGCTATGTCCAGGATACCATGAATCACTTGCAGAGATTACTTCCATCTTAGGCCAGTTTTAGGGCAAAGTTTCCCAAAAAATGTTTGGAAAGTTTTTACATGGTTGGGTTGAGGATGAAATATAATATTCTCGAGATCTATGAAATGCTCTGTGCCTAATTGATGAAGTTTGAACATCCCTACGTTTGGATTTTATAAGAGCTCAAAGTGTTCAAAATGTTGTGAATGAATGGAAATATGGATTATGGGTGCATGTATGCATCATGGCAAGAGAGAGGAGCACACAAGACTTTAGTTTAGTTCAACCCCGGTTTAGTTCCTTATCCTTTTCTATTGCGTCCATAGTAAGCTTGGGATGATTTATGGTTTCTAGGATGACAATTTCTCTCCTTTGTCCAGTTAGAAATTTAACACTGTTATTTAAAGAAGAACTTGAGTAGATGAAAATACTTACGGTTCCCCCCCACTGTCATGAGCAAACACAGGGCGCTGTGGCTGAAATGAAATGAGTTGAAATGTAGTAAGAGTATGCAGTGCAATCAATTAATTTAGCACAGTCTTCCATAATAGTCAGCTCACTAAGTGCTTCAATACATTCCCTGATTTAGGAGCTGCATTAAAAACAGGTTTTCTCAACAGTAGGTAAAATACAGTTTGAAATATACACACCTATGGGGGAACATGTATTGTACAGGCCTATTTTAGCACAGACCCATATTTTATTTTGAAAAAAATAGTCTTATTTCGAAAAAAAAATCTGCTTAAAAAATGGGGACAAAGAAGAAATCATTTCTCCAAAGACTTTTCCATTGTGAAAGCCTCTTTATCCTTTCAGCCTAAATCTTGCCATGCCAAAGAAAGCAGATAAGTTTTAGCTTCAGTGTTATCAAACACCATTAGTGTCACAGAGATTACAACAGCATTAAATAAGCAAATAGCAGGAAAAAACCCAGCTTCACAACAATTTAAATGCTTTTCATCAACAAGGAGCAGCCATTCCTGATGACTGGTCAGGAGGATAACATTCTTAGAGAAGTGCCCCCTTAGAGAGATTTTTTTTATGCTCCCTGGCTTTGAGAGGTTTTGTGTATTTGTTTAAGGACTCCTTAAAAGGAGAAGAGAGCAAAAGAACAACAGCTGTTTATCAAAAATATGTGTGAGTAGGTCCCATCCATTTAGTCATTGATCCAGGGACAACACATTCCTTGAAAAGTTCTAGAAAATGGACCTGATCACTCAAAAGTTGGTTAAGGTTATGTATAACATTTAAGATAAAGATGGAAATTGACAAACGCAAATGTGAATTTATATTTTACGATCCATTTGTTTCTCTTGCCCGATTTATTATTTAAGAGAATAGCCCTTGAGATATATCCTCTCTGAAGTTTCAGTATGAATTAAGGTAACATAAGTGTCAATCCTACAAATTATTTCCAAAACTATTTTGGCATAATCAGAATTATGAACTAAATCACTGTTGAAGATATGTGGATTTTAACTCCCAGAATTCCCTAGCCAGCATGGGAGTTGAAATCCATTCAACCTGTGCATGGAGTGCACAAATACCAAACTAAACCATATACTATACACTTGGTAGCTGTTCAAAGTATGAATACATCTTAATAAATTATTGAGTCAAGTTGTGAATCACTATAGACATAGATTGTGCAATTTCTAAAATTTGAAGTAATTTTACTTCTGTTTACTGCTGGAGGACACAGTTTAGCTACTCTTTCAACATTATTATTTTCATTTGGAAAAAAAAGGAATGCTTAGAGAAAAACTAGATTCTGTCCAAATATGTTAATCCAGATATATCAGAGAACACTGTAATCTCCTCTGATTTCCACTCAATAACGTGTTCATACATTAACTGAAACTTGTTTTATAAAAGAAAGCAGTTTTGATTTGTTACATTATATAAACTACAATGTATAACAGTGAAAATACACGAGAACCATTCTTTAATTTTACTTTTTAAAATATGATTAGAAAATACATTGCTAGAGAGAAAAAGAATTCAGCAGTTATTCTAGGATATTTTTCTATTGGCAGCTGTCTGCAGAAATTAGAAGGCAATTTAAATGTTGCTTCAACATTTTCTGAATGGGAAATGCATGCAATATTATTGGATGCAATTCAGAGCTTGCAGACACCAGAAGTAATTCAAACTCCATTGGTTTTGGAAGGATTCCTTTAAGGATTCCTGAATCTAAGTCTTATGCATTTGCCACTAGGTGGATGCTAGAGCCTAAGAGTTTAACACATATGTTAAAACATTCTCCATATGCAAATAATAATGCAAACAAGTGAGCCAGTCAAACAAGCTTAAAAATAAGTTAATGATCAGAGGCTGTTTATAAAAAATGCATTACATTTTTAACAAATTTAGTACATGCATGGAACTGTCTTGTGCCTATACTTCATGGCTAAAATGCTTATTCTTTTGACTATGTAGCACTATAGATTTGTATTCCAAAATATGCTTTGGAATGCACAGGAGTATGAATATAGATCTACATGCAACATCTTACGCAGCTGTGCCTTTTCTTGTGATGCATACATGAGAGAACTAAAAGTAATCTCTTGAAAGTTAAAACAGGTTAGATTTATTTTTGTTTTATTGATGTCTAAGCCATATAATTACATAAGAGCTGAGGTGGTGCAGTGGAGAGTGCAGTACTGCAGGCTATTTCAGCCAACTGCTAACTGCAGTTCAACAGTTTAAATCTCACTGGTTCAAGGTTGGCTCAGCCATTGACTTCATCCTTCCGAGGTGGGTAAAATGAGGATCCAGATTGTTGGGGGCAATATGCTGACTCTGTAAAACCGCTTAGAGAGAGCTGTAAAAGCACTATGAAGCAGTATATAAGTGCTATTGCTATGTTAATATATATGTTTATTTTAGAAAATGCTCAGATGAATTATGTTTAATCATTGTAGGATACATGAGAATATGTCTGTGACTAGTAAGTATTATTTAAAGCCCCTAAAATCTTTTAATAAGAAAGATCCTGACATTTCTCATCAATGCTACTGATGATGAATGCTACACCATCAATGCTACACCAGATGAAAGGTGTGGTGTCTAGTTCTATGATGATGCCTAGAAGAATAAAGGCTATTTTATTATATTTGACACAAGCTCTTCAGAATGTTTTTCATATTATTCTGATGATTTATTTTCCAGAGAGCTACAAAGAAGGTAGCATAACTATTGGAGCCCAGGTATATAATGGATAGACATTTGTCTGCATCAGTTACAGAATTTAATCAATGTTCAAGAATTGCTCAATCAAAAGTGCAATGGAGAAGTCAAAAGTAGAGAGCAACAAGTAATCTGCAACAAGTAATAGCTATGAATATAATTAAAAGGACTTAAACCTTCATACCAGATGAAGTTGGTGAGGAAGCTCTACTTAATATTAGCTTTATAGATGCATATGTAGTTGTACAACCATTTAGTTGGATATTGTTACACTTGGCAATTTAAAAAATCCATTCACTTCAATCAGCTTCAATCTGGAATTTATTTATAAATTTGAGGCCACTATGACCCATTCAAGTCCCAAAGTTTCTTCTCATCCAAGAAATTTTTTTCAACACAGTTCTGAAGAAGCATCTTGGATGAGAAGTGAAAGGTCTTCAAAGAAAAAAAGCAAGAAAGTCCAATTGCCTTTTGAAAAGCACCTTTGGGACAACCATGATCTGGATGATTGAGAATCTCCATAGGCAATGACTCATTCAAGTTGTTCATTACCAGAGTTGACACCAACATAACTGAAAGTGTTAGGTTGTTTTATCTAAATAACGTTTTCTTCTTCCTAATCCTTTTCATGAGAGTCAAACAAACAAATCTTACTAGAGAAAATAGAAAATTGGATATATTTAACATTTGACTTTAATACAAAATGTGTAAATTGCACTTTTATCTATAATCACAGTCATGTTACTAAGACAAAACTGCAATTTGAGAAAAATGTATGTTTTTAAGCATGTATGCATGGAAAAGCTAATGCAAACAACAACTCTAGGAAAAGCAATGCTATGAGAAAGCATGTTAACAAATCAACTCAATACATGTTGCTATAGCAGCAAAATATTTTGAAAACAGGTTCATGCAATTGAAAACAAAAAACAATAACTTAAACTTTATGGAACCCATGAAAGGTACAAAAAGGCTTCCTTATGTAGCCACTGTTAACGGTCTCATAAGTAAAACACTTTGAAACAAGAGGAGTTATTTACAAGGGTGGAAGTTAAATACAAATTTGAGTGGCTAAAGATGTGCTTTTTAAAAGGATGATTTAACGGACATATGTAATAGTTTTGCTTTACATTTTATCAGTGAACTTGGAAGTCAAGCACCGGGTACCATGGCTTTCACACTGTTACCATTCAAAATATTTTCAGCAGCAGAACAACAAAAAGAAAGACCATTAGAATTATTTGAACATGTGAATTCAAGATCTTGTAACCCGTTCTAAAGACTTTATGCTAGGGGGAAACCTGGTAAAACCTAACAGGCCACTTAGTACCATACCCTATGTGAATAGCTGTGCCCTCTGATAGGTGAGCCACAAGACCTGCTAGTCAAAGCAGGGCTACGAGGAGGTTTGCCGATGACAGAGATCTCTCTTTTTAAATCAGCCTAGAAAAACCATAAACATAGTCAATTCATTTAAACATCTAGATGGGCAATCTCCTGCGGTTTAATTCCTGCAAGCTGGGAAATTAATTCTTTTCATTTCCAAAGCTCACAAATGGCATGCAGAACAGTTAACCCACTATGCCTGAAAATGACTGCTTATATCTTCTTTTAAAGAGAGAATCCTTAGCATCGCAAATTCATAAAGCCTATGCAACTGGATTGCTTTTCAAATATTCTAGGGGTAATACGATTTGATTAGTTGTGCAGATAACATTGGAGGACAATCTAAGGCCAACCTACTGCTAACACTTCACAGCCAAGAAAAAAAATAATGTACAAGAAAGATATCAGTAAAAATCTAAGTATGTGCTTTACATATAAACATATATATCTTTCAAGCTTATGAAATGTTAAAGCTAAGAGTGTTGCAGATTTCATATTTTTGTGATCACTGAAAGAAAATTCAAAATACGAGTTGTCTTTGAATTAAAAAAGTATATATTTGGCAATTTCTTAATGGTACTGCAACAGTTCTTGCATGTATTGCTATTAAATGCTGACAACAGGACTTTGGGTATATTAACAGTTGGTCTCTAACTTTACAATGGGCAGTTTTAAAAGTAGATTCTTATTTTCACCTTCTACTACTTCGACTCTTTTGACAATTTCATCTATACATTAATCTAGGATATCTATCTATCTATCTATCTATCTATCTATCTATCTATCTATCTATCTATCTATCTATCTATCTA